CAGCTGCAAAAAAATCAGCAGCAAAAAAATTTGCCTGCAAAATATTCAGCTGCAAAAAATCAGTTGCGAATAAAATCCAACTGTAAAAAATTAAATTGCAAAAAAACAGCTGCGTAATACGGAAGAGGATTAGGGCCAATGAAAAAAAAAAAGTTAACTGGTTTTTAAATTTTTTTTCAGTTTCGTATGGGAAAAAAGTCTGAATTCTGAGATTAAAGTCAGAATTCTGAGAAAAAAGTCAGAATTCAGACTTTTTTCCCATACGAAACTGAAAAAAAATTTCAAAAATCAGTTAACTTTTTTTTTTTTTCATTGGCCCTAATCCTCTTCCGTAGCATAATATTCGCCAGCAAAAACTTCAGCTGCAAAAAAATTCAACTGCAAATGTGTTGACGTTTTGGTGAATTAAAGACAAAGCAATCGACAATTGATGTAGTCGAGCAGCTTCAAGCCAATGAAATGAGCCAATTTGGTCACTTGACACAACAGGTGGGCATAGCTTAGTTCCAGGCTAAATGACTGAATGAGGAGTTTTTCTTGTTAAATAGATATGATTAGAAAATATCAGGTAGCTACTAGAATGCCGTTTGAATTTTTCATCTAATCGGACTGGGTGAAATAACTGAGCCGATCGCAGGTGGTGCTGGACCTCTGTCTGCTCTTGGTTTGATACGAAAGAGGCGGCCTTGGCAAACTTCCTTTTTTTCCCTGAACAAATGAGCTCAATTCATTGGCTAGAATCTGCTCGACTGCATCAAGTGTAGATTGCTTTGGCTTGAGCTCACCAAAAGGTCAACATAATGGCAGCTGAATTTTTACCAGATAAAAATTCAGTGTTTTAAAATTCGGTGTACACATTTTAACAGACTGTTTTCTTCCATATTGGGATTACTCCTTCAGGGAAATTCTGGTTCCAGTAGCTTACAAAGAGTAGAAAGAGTTAAAGCAAGATGCCAGTAAAGTGTATATAGTACGAAAAAGAATAAAAAAAGAAAAAGTTGTAATGTCCTGAAATATGCTTCCTTTAGATATAAAAATATCTGCATAGTAGAGAGCTAAGGGAAGACACAGTAGTTGACTTGAGTCTTTGCACATGAGCTGCATAGATGTACAGAGAACACTGATCTCTATTTATTCACTGGATTGATGATTGCCTGAAAAAATTGAAGCCCCCATCCGCCATGTTGGTACTCCTTATCCCACGGAGATACACAGTAAAAATGCCTAAATGTGAAGCATTTGGCTGCAAAAAAAAAAGCAGATTGCCGGTTGTAGGAAGATGTTTCACAGGTAATGTCACTGTCACTGTCAGTCTGTGCATACATTGTATGTTTAGTTTCAGATTCTTGTAACTAAGACCTTAAAGCAAAATATAATGTTGATGTTGCCTGTTATTTTACCAATTTATCTGATTTTGCTTGTGTAGAAACTGAAGCTCTGTGGAGTTATTAAATAGGTTAATCAATTTAGCTCTATTGTAAATCTGTCAGAATTAAAAGCTAATGCACAGACAAAGCAGAGAAGTATCTG